CATTACCTTGAGAGCAACAAGAGTATATCTGACATTGAAATTATTGATTTTTAAATTTTCGCTCACCAACTACACTCTTGATGAAACTATCGCGTCTTGCTTTCACGCTGACCAGGGCACTGTACTTTTTGCCGCCCTCTCCCCAACCACCGACGGCCACAGAGGTCTTCAAATGAGGGTATTTAGATCTGAGATTGTTGAAGGCCAAAAAATTGCCCTTGTCAACGTCCAAGTCTGGATCCAAGATGAGCACTTCCCAGGTCACGTTGCTCACACCGATGAACGAATAAATGACGTGGGTGCACAAGTCACCAGGTATATCGTCCACACCGTAACTGCCGACGCCCTTTCGATAAATCGCCCAGTTGCTGAAGTAACACGTTATCCTGGCAGGCTGGCTTGCTGAAACTTTTCGAAAAAATAATTAATATCGTAATAAAATCCTGTTTCACAAGGGTCGAACGAACCGTTAGAAACCGTGTTTCGAGTGTTTTTATTAATGCATCGTAAGAAATTACCTGTGTAAACGAGAAACAGGGGAAGCGCCAAAAGAAGACATTTTCCCGATGTCATTTTGAAAGCTGTACACAAAATTTAGATATAATTAGTAATTTATATTTGTAATTTTTTTTTAAAAAATTTTCAATTACGATGACTTCTTATACAAATTCTGAATATTCAATTTCAATAGTATATTCAATGATGCCTTTTCAAATTGACAAAATCGATGATAAACGGTTATAAATATAATTTATACAGAATATGTGTAAATTGAATAATTCTTTTAGCGACACGTTATCGAAAAAAATTCGATTAATTTTTAAAATAAAGCCAATATTAAAATATTCGAGAAGAAATTTTGACAGCGATCTGATCGATGATGATTAAAAACGTATCTGTTTCAATCGAATATCGAGTCACTTGAGAGAATGTATTTGAAAGAGGAATGATTTACCGAATGGTCGAAACGTATCGTCTATTCCTCGAATAGGAGCGATCTAAGTTTGTTTTTAAGTAAAGCAAATATCACGATATCTCCGTAAATTTTATCATTCGAATAATCTCGTTTCCGCACGAACGCCACGAACAAATTAACCGTGTCCAATCGATCGATCGTTTCCTCGATCTTGATCTTGGACGCCGCGAAGAGAGAGAAATCTCATTTGGAAATTGAATAAGTCACGTGTAGTTCGCCAAATTCGATTTCATTCGTTCCGCTAGCTTATTACTTCTCTTTTTATCTTTTTTTTTTTCTGTACAACAAAACAGAAAACAGAATTTCAATATTTTTACGTTCACATTTTTTTATTTTCCTTTTTCATCGTCTAATTTACGAATAATATTTTCCAATATTGAGAATAAAATATAAATATACAGATATTTATACTAAAATTACGAAAAAAAATTGTATGATTTATAATTCATATTTATAATATTTTAATTTTAAACAAATTTTAAAACAATACGTAGCTTTGTATGCGCAAATAGAAAATTCTATTCTTTCGAAATTTCTTGCATACTTGCTACCATTATTTTATAATATCATATACATTACATTATCGTTTCATATTTATATCGAGTCGAACCGACATTTTGCTCGTCTCGAAACGAAAACGAGTTTGCGTCCAAAGAAGCGGCATAGAATATTAAAAGTTCAAGCACCTTTGCAACGGGAGTTCTCGAGCACACGAGAATTCGATACACGCAACAATCCAGCTCCGATAAAAGTTGTATACGTATATATATATTTTTTTGTGCGAGTCCCAGCCCGATAAAAAATCGACGCGAAATCAAATTACTCTCATAAAACGAAACGCTCTCGTTGCGGGGAGGCCAAATTTCAATATAAAATTTTCGATCGATTTGGATCCATTTTCTCGCAAAAATAAAACGCGAACACCTCTTGTTGGTAACAGGATACATTTATATCGAACTTGTATTTCCTTCTTAGAAGATGATATCTTCACGCGTATTTTGTTTTTCTTTTTTAAATAATTATTTAATTGTTCCGATCGAGAATTGATTTGATTTCCAATGTGAAAATATTTCGTAAAATATTTCGACCGTGATGCGAGTTACGAGCAAGTACAATGTGTGCACGAAAATATCGAAACGAAATTTTTCAAATAAATTATTTTCTTCCCAATTCGATTCTCTTCGAGATCTATTTCTGAAATATACATAATATTTCGAGAGGGAAGAAAACGATTATTAACGAGGAAAGAAAGAATCAAAAGAATAAAAGAAGAGAATTTTTCCGACGATAAAAATCCATTTTTTCCTTCCGTTCGTATCGACTGAGGATTCCAGCTCATTGTCTCCGATAGAGGCGCCAGTCACGGAACGACAATCGATCCGAAATGAGGCAGGAAGAGAATTACAGGATAAACGGGAAACAAAGGCGAAGGATCAAAGACCCGTCCTTGAGTCTTTTAGAAGTTTCGCGCGAAATAAAAGAGGCAGATAATGATCCAGGCTGCGAGAATAAAGGAAGACAGTGGGAAGACCACGGCTTTTTCGTTGTTGCGAATTAAAATGCTGGCTGCATCGGATCCCTCGTCTACTATCGAGCTGCATCGCGAATACAAACACGCCCTCTCAGGGACCTCTCGGAAGGATCTCTATTTCCAGCGGGATGATAACTTTAACTTTTAAAACGTTTAAACGTTTCGTCGATCCTTCTAATCTTTTCCTTTTCGTGTCTCGAATTGCGTTTATATTACAATAGTTTCTTGCAACAGTTTCGAAGAGGAGATTTGAAAATTATGTAAATTGTTTTTTTTTTTTTAAATATTTTGGGCATTTTGTGCGAATTTGATCTAAAATAGTTTGATCTATAATCTATAATCTAATGTTTTTAATTTTCTAATGTTGCCTTTATGCATTAGTTAATTCATTCATACACAATCTCGAATCAATATTCAAGAAATGAATCGGACAGTTCGCTTTCGATATTCTTCGTTGGTTCTACACACGCTTTCGAGGTTCTTCCTGCTCTATAAGCAAACAGGGACGTGGCTATCTGTGTTAGATCCTCGACTCGATACATGATGCAATTTGCTGCAATTCGATTAATGTTAAGGCAGACAAAAAATAAAGTTAATAAAATAAATAAATTAAAAAATAAAAAAATTAAAAATAATAAAAATTCGATAATCGTTTGATTTGACTTTCGATATCAATCGATATAAATTAATCAATTAATGCTTCTTTATCTAACATGTATTTTATCTATCCAACTATTTATTTAATTCCAATCTATATAAACATGTATCTACAATATCACTTAAAAACAGTCATATTTTTACATAAAATAAGAAGGAATAAATAAATAAATTTTTATAAATAATTTCAAATATAATTTCAATAGTAAGTATTCGTATGTGCATATATGAAGAAATATTGAATATTTAAAATTTGTTTACAGATAATAATAAAAAAAAGAAAAAACATTCAAAGAATCAAAAATTTGATTTTAACTTGTATCTCATTCAATATTTCGTTTTTATTAACAATACAATTATTGTTTTATCATTTATTTTTACTACTTATTTTTAGCAACTTCAGCAAACTTTATAGCAATTAAATTTAATATATGACTCTTTCAATTTTATTGAGATCATAGTAGATTTGTAACTAATAAATCAATCGTCATTTTGTCCGATGAGAAGATAATTAATTTTAGAGTCTTTAAAATCTTAATTCCTTAAATCTTTCGAATTCCATCTAGGAATTATTTTTGAATTGCAAGTCGATAAAAGAGATAATAAAATGAAGGAATGTCGATTGAAAAACGAAATGTGATACGAATGAAACAAAATTTTATCCCTATTTTGTATAAATATCGTTTTGACGATCTAAGATGAAATTTGGCGATAGAAATTGCCAATTTTTTTCTATAGTTTTTCTGTACAACGTGTGAATATTTGATTTGCCCTTGAAAAATAAATTGTTCGATGTTTCGATCGAGTAGAGAAGAAAAATAAAATTTCAAATATGTTTACTTCCTCGCGACTTTGGAATAATGGAAAAATAGAATTTTTATCGTAAAACATTTCTTGTTTTAATTTTTAGATTATGAGAAGATTTTTCTGAAAATTGTTTTCATTCTTCCAATCAACTTTTCATTCATATATCGTGTCCTACAATTCTTTTATCATGTTTGTCAATATTATTACAAAAACACATACAATAATTGTCGAAATAACGATTTTAATTACAATAATAAATAATAATAAAGTATTAATCATTATTTACGAATACGATTTTAAAAAAGAGCGTCAAATAAAACGAGAGAAAAGTGAAACGAGATAGAAACGAACAAACGATCAATTAAAATACCTAATATCGCATTCTTTAATAATGAATTCAAGACAACTCGAATTCTGAATTTCAAAATAAATTTTCAGCAGAAGATAGAATAAATCATTGAGGAAGCAAGTCAGCAAAAAAGGAACGAGCAAATCGTGTTGTCAATAATTAAGCAAGAATTGACTTAAACTCAAAAGAGAGTTAGCTAAAACAAACATTATTCAACGATTGATTGAAATATTTAATGATCTTACTTTTAATAAATTCGAGTCACTTACCTCGAGCTGGGAATGTCAAAATAAATTTTCAATAGAAGATACAAGTCACTGAAGGGGAGCAAGTCACCAAGAGAACACGAGGATTAAAACGAAATGAAAATCACGATGCATTGTCGATAATAATCGAGGATGGGACGAGAAGAGTCGAGAAGAAGCGATTCTAAAGAAGAGGAACTGGATTTCAGAGAAACGAACGTTGAGAGGAAAGCAAAGAGAGTAGAGAACTCACCTTCGCGAGTAACTCAGAAAAATCGTTGCCTCGGCCGAGGTTAAGCTCTCATATATACCCAGATGGACCTCATTAGAATTCAGGTGCAAGGCCTGGCACGATTGGTTGGTTCGTCGACCCTCTGTCGTCAACAACGAGAGGGGCGATCACGATCCGTCACCGCTGATGCCTCAGATCTCTTCGTCGCCTTTTCTTGCCTTTTCTTTTTTCTTTTTTTCTTTTTCTATTCGTATACAGATCCCTTTGTTTTCAATCTACCCTTTCTTCCTTTGTTCCTTTTTTCATTTCAATTTTATCAACTTTTGCTTCGCCCAAGATCACATTTTATTGAAAATATTTTAATATATATTTGAATTAAAAAATTGAAAAGAATTGATGATTATTATCAATCGTTTAACGAAAGTTCTTTTGTCATATGGATGTTTTTTTTTAATTATCAAGAAGAGGAAAGATTATATAAGTCTTTTTTGTACTACAAATGTTACTTACTTTGTGCAAGAGAATTTCTTCTTACTTTTAACAAAATTAAAAAGAAATTTCATTTTTTTCCTTTCCTATAGATGTTGGTATTAAGTCTTCAACTCTGGGAATTATTTTAACAAGGTTATTTGAAAGTGGAAACTTTATCTGAGATTTATTAATAAAAATCTGCATTTTGCAAAATGTTTCTGTAAAAAATGTAGACATCTTTTTCATCACGACCTTCAAATCAAATGTGTATTAATTCCATCCAAAAAAATTATTACCATAAAGAATCGAGAAATTGCTTGAAATAAAATTTAAAAAGCAATTTAGTCAAATAGTCAGGAACAAGATGAATGAACAATCCAAACTCATGTAATATGGATTTTACTTTATTCGTGTAACAATAACAGTTCCTGTTTCCACAGTAGTTTCCTTTTACAATAGTTTATTTCGCTCAAACTACCCTAATGGCGCGGTGGCAACCGCAGAAAGCAATCCTACGCTGGTTTCTCAGGTACCATAGGGCCAATGGGGGTGTCGAGCGAACAGTTTTTCACATATGAAAACATACGCATCGTCGTTTCTCTCCTTTTTCTCGAACCCTAGATGTTCATTGTTTTAATGACTCGCGATGGTAGTATGTCCATCCATAAGGGAAAGTTCTTAAAAAGGGCACGATGGTAACGATTGCGCTAAACGGCCATTCTTCTCGACCTCGAGACGAATGATCGTGATTCGATCGCGTTTTTCCGATCGTTGGATTTCACCGTGCGTCATCCTACATCGTATACACGGATCATCGTATCGTAAAAAATTATTCCTAACATTGATGCCTGTGGACCATACAATTCTCATATAATAGATAGAAATCGCATCTCTTAATTAGCATGATTAACGAGATACCTTTTTCTCGGGGTTTGACAGTCGTCGAGGGGAGATCCTTACGCTTAACCTTACTTTTTTTGTGCAGGGCGTTAGTCTCGCTGGTTTCATCCTTCTTTTCTCTCTCTTTCTTTCTTTCTTTCTTTTAATTGACGAGCAGTCGCCGTGTTTCGCGATCGATCTGCATTTGTAATTTGGCACTCTTCAATTTCGCTCGAACGTTCTACGACTTTTTTTAACAGGCTACAACAATGCAAGTTAGCTTATAAACACTCGTCCATCTTTGCGACGCTTCGCGTCTAAATGCTGTATCTTAACTCTTTGAAGCGTCGATATTTCTTTCTAGGTTGTTTTAGTTGTGACATGGATAGAAATAAAAATTGATAAATTTTTATAATTTGCAGGAAAAAATTTGAAAAATCTCGAACCGAGCGTTTGATCTTATGATAATAAGAAAAATAATTGCAATTAATTCGATTATCGCTTCAAAGAATTAAGTTTCGATTATATCGAAGGACACGCCGACAATCGATTTCCATTAAATGGATTCGACATCGAACGATTGTTGCACGCATCTAAGTTTCTATATATAACTTATCTAGTCGCACTTTCAAAGCTTATTCTTCTCCCTTCGTTAAATAATACGAGTAAACGATCTTAGAAAAACATAAATACACGCTACTTCGAAAAGTTGAAAGTAGCGAAAACGACGTAGAACGCGCTGTTTATAGGACGTTTCTAAAGCGTACATATGTGTTACGTGTTTCTTAAATTACGATTCAACATCGAGTCAAATGCACTTATCTGAAAGTTCGAGAAAGTTTATAATAAAAGTGTCGAAATACTCGAATGATTAGCGAGTCATATAAATCATATGCATTTGATTGTGTTGAAATTGGAGCAATTTATGGATAGAAACACCGATCAAACGTACAGAATATATGGACGATACCACGTTAAATTTTACGTTCACTTTTTGTCAACGGTTATACGATGTATAATTATCATTTATAATAATAATAATTAATAGACTTTCAACGATAACACATATTTTTATCAATAAACATTTTATCGTTATTCTGTTGAATAAGAGATTTTATATAAAAAAAAGTTCAGTGAGCACTCTAATCCTTTTAATATTAAGAAATATTTTGTATAATTGGTTTTTCATTTGTTAGATTATTTTTGATTGGAACAAGTGTTATTCGATTGATCCACACGAGTAATAAAAATTCTTATATGATAAGATAGTTGACATGTAATTTTGAACATTTCATTGATGATTCAATCATTACACTTTATATACTGAAAACAAAGCACTGAGTATACACAGATGTTCGAAGAATTTATTTCCAAATTTCGTATACTCTCGATCGGTGTTTTATACCTAAAAATGACTCATCTCAGTCAATTCAATGATCGTTATTTAGAGGTTATGTTTATTCATTATTTGACTATGTTGCGTTGCTCATAGCACCTAGCGTAAACGCAACCTTATATTCTATCTTATTTCTAATATACATATTCATTCCTCTTACATAAATCAACTTGAACCGATGATTCCCAAACTCGTTGCAATATATACATATATATATACATACATACAATAAATTATTTGCTATTAACTTTAGTAAATGTAAATGTAAATGTAAATGTAAATTCAAGACTGAAAGACGAGTTTGCAAAGCATGGTTTCATATAACAAACATAAACTGAATTCGGCCAATACGTAGTTTATAAACGAAGTTTTTATTAATGAAAGAATTATAAAAAATTCTTGAGTCAATAGATTTGACTAAATGGAAATTGAAATTAAATAAGAATTAATGTCAGAATCTAAATAATATTTTTTTGACAAATTATAGTGAGAAGAAATTGGAATAGCATTCACATTATCTAATATTAGCCGAAGTCAGTGATTAATCATGTTTATATAATTATTTATATAATCATGTTTATATAATTATTTTATCATTATACTTGATTTCTTTCCTATATAACAGCATTCATACGAGTTAGAGGAATTCGATTACAGTCATTTTCTAAATGATTCGCATTGTGCGATCGCTGTTTCTTAATTTATTATTAATATTATGATTATTATTGTTGTTATTATTGTTATTATTTATTATTGTTATTGTTGTTGTTATTATTATTATTATTATTACTGTTATTATTATTATTATTATTATTATAATTATTATTGTTATTGCTAGTGATAGAAACTTGTGGAAGCATTTTCTTCGAATAGAAAAGAAAACATCGAGGCAGTATGGCATCAAGCATAAATGGTATCAGAATATTATATCGCTAGAATATTTTATGTTCGAGCAACATTTACATTACGAAATATAGGCCTCATAATAAGTCTTTAATTTTATAATGATGTAGTTTTATATGTGCTTATCGTTTAAAAACCGTATAAGACCGTATAAGAGTAGAATATTCATCGAAATTTCTTGTTAAAAGTGTTCTTAACATAGATTCGGTAATCCAATGAATGACATGATTAAAGTTTCATATGAGTCGAAACTTGAAACCATCCTGTCTCGACGTCACAATTAAATGATCGTAACATTTCATTAAGTAGAAAATAGTAAATATAAGCTATTATTAGTCGATTGAACTATATATATGTTACAAAAAGGGAATTGAATTTGATCAGGAAAGAGAACGACGTAAAAAAAAAAAAAAAATTAAAAGTTTCTTTATTTTTGAAATAATTTCATTCGGATATTTACTATTTTCTTCCGTAAATATCATCTAATTTTGCTCGACATCCATTACATTACTAATTCTTATCGACAATTCAGACGATAGCTATTTGTTATCAGTTTATTAAATCGATGATTATGTACAATATCGATGCAAATAAAAAAAAAAACATCGTTTTTTTCTTTTTCTTAAATCGTTAATATAATCATAATAGCAAGTGATGTCAGGGAAACCACCTTTTTATGAAATTTCAAAAAATGTTTGAAGAAGAAAGATATTTGTTTCTCTGTTGTTCCGGGCTGGCAGTAGAGTTTTCACTTTGTGCTAGAAAGATTTGTCAGCTGTGTGAGAGACTTCTTTTGACTTCTCTATCGTTTTTCTTATGAGTAATAGTTCTCCCTCTGTTGGTATAGTGGTAATGGTGTTACAGGCGAGAGATCCTCGTCTTCTAAGCTCGATTCGGTCTTCAAAGGAAGGGTAGCCAGTGCTTTCACTATCAAAATTAAAGAATTAATTTCGAATCGATATGAAACGTTCGTTGGAGAATTATTTGAGATAAAATTCATTTCACAGTTTTAACAGGAATTGATAACATTTGAAAATATGTCATTCGAATGCACGTAAAAATTATTTAAACAAATTTGTAAAATTTAATTTCTTATATTTCTCCAACGAGTGTGTCGCAAAAAAAAAAAAAGGATCACTACAAAAAATGAAAATTAATCAAAAAAAGGATATATGAAGGGAGATGTAAAAAGAAAAAAAAAAAAAAATAAAAATAATAAACAAACCTGAGAAACGATAATATGATGTGCGTGTCCTATATGGGAAGATGGAGAAAGCATGTCAGTCAGTGTGCCTGGTTACCTATACACAGTATAAACAATCCAAACAACACTCACTACATATGACACAACTATATTTTACATTAATAGGAATCTCGATAAAAAAAATTAATCGTATAAACGAAATTATAAAATATTTATGACGATGCATGCCAATGAAAAATTCTTTAAAACATTTTGTGATTTTTGGAACTAGAGAGAAAATGTTTTTTTTAAATATTCCAGTTTCTAAATCATATCTCTAATAATAAAACATAAAATATAAACATATATAAAAGAGAAAGGCACATTCTTCTAGTTCCGATAATAAAATTACAACAAATAAGGAAAAATTGAATACAACAAATTGATTAAGCACAAGCCTTCTGCACTAAAAATAAGCAGAAGGCATGAAAGCTAATATTGGCCATGCTATCACACCACTAGACACTAAATATTATTAGATTCATGCAGAATGAATCAAATCAGATAATCTATTTGCATTTTGAGAAGTCAGGATTCAACATACCCGCCACCATCTTGCTCTTTTCCATAACTTGCTTAGCTAAAATTTGATTCAATTGTAGAATGTGCTCCCTTTGTCGTTTCTCTTCCACTACTTTTCTTTTCAAGCTGTCAGATTGCTCGATATTAATATTGTCGTCTGAAAAAAAGAATAAACGATTCATTTAACCATGTAATATCTATTCAAAAAAGTACCCGGATGTAATGAAATTGTGAAACGATGCATACCACTTCCGTCTGGCGCGGTCACGGTTGTCTCGGACAACATCTTTCTTATTGCTTCCGCTTTCTTCAATCGTTGCTCCTGCTCTTCCGCGGTTAACTCCGGTGTCTACAAAATACATATTCAGTTATTCTAAAATTCTGTCGACAAAAACAACGTAAAAATAATACAATAATATCAAATGATAAATTATCCCACCTGTTCAGGTATATATCTTTCCGGAATCACGATCTTATTCGGTGTTCCTAAAAGTTGGTCGATAGTGCTCTCGTTATACTTCAACTCTTTGTGACTCAAAGTCGATCTAACGACATCGGGAGCATTGATCCTCGGCCTGAGCGCTCGTTCCATGTCCAGATCGTCTCTAGCTCTCCCCATTCCCTGCGCAACGTCGCAAAAAAAGCCTTCGTACACATGCCAATCGTACACATTTCACGCTCGCGTGCACACGACCAACAACACAAAGCGACGCTACACGAAAAGGACGTGACACGACGACAAAATTGGAAAAATTGGAATTTCGCACAAAGGAAAGAGAACGGAAGAAAGAGAAACTAATGAATTGGGATGACGATGAAAAAAGAAAAAAAAAGAGAGAAAAACAAGTATAAAAAATATCGAAAGAAAACAAAAAAGAAAAAAAAAAGAAAGAAATGATACCATCTTTGAGAACGTATCCTCTAGGTCGAGGACGGGTTTGCTACTGGACACGGTATAGTGTCGCCTTTTCTCGCGAGGGATCTGCCTGCGTCTCGGTCCCTCGACCTTTTTCTCCGTCATCTCCTTGATGATCTGCCTCGCTGCCTCGCTCTTGAACACAGGCGACAATTGAGGCGAGCTCGACGCGTTCACGTTCAACGACGAGCCGTAAGCTTTCTCCTGGCCATCGAGGTTGCTCGGTGACAACAATTCCGGGCTTATCGGTTCCTGCACACTCCCTTGACTCTCGCCGTATTGCCTGTACGGTGGATAGTACGGAGGCTGATGGTGATGATGATGATTCGATTTGATCGATGTGTAATTTTGCTGGTGGCTACTAGGGCTGTAGGACGGACTGGTCGAGTAATTTGGCGAGCTGATAGGCAGATGCGTGCTCGAGGCGAGACTCTCCGTGTACGGCGACAAAGTACTGTCCGAGCTTCCTTCCTGTTGCGTTTCGAACTGCGTCGGTCGGTGACGGGCAATATAACGAAGTGGAGGGCCGAACAAAATAAGGTGAAAGGCCAATAAGGTGAAACCAATGCAAAAAAAAAAAAAGGAGAATAAAAATGCGTGAAATCATCGAGATGCTTGATACTTTTGGTGCTCGATGAGTTTTGGACCTTGATCGGGCCGATACGTAGATAGATTTTATTAAAAATGACGTGAATAAAAATTTTTGGAAAATTTTAATCCCTGTTCGAAAAGTTTGGAGAAGAGTTTAAAGTCAATGTTTGTTCGTTTTTTTTTTTTGTTTTTTTCTTTTCTAGTTATTAAAAAACTCGTATAATATATTGCGAATTTTATACAACATACAACAATATCATAAATGATCGAACATGATTGTGAACGTGTAACATCACGTGCAAAATAAAGTTTAGCACTTGTTGTTAATTTACGTTTTACGTGAGAGAAACATAAATTGTTAGCACAATGAAAGATGCTTTCAAAAATTAATCGAACGTAAAAGAATTTAAGGGGGGGGGGGAAGAGAGAGAGATAAAATATGGGGGATCAACGAAGGGAATTAATGTTAAGAATGATCCGTTGGATTGATTAATTAGCGCAATCGGTTTAAGAGAAACACCGAAATTACTTACCCTGATCTTGTTCCGTCTGGCCAGCATGGTTCTTAAGGCGTGCATGCTATCGCTTCTGGGAGGAGGCACCACCGGGACTTGATGGATCTCCGGCTGTTGGAGCCGTTGCCCGCCGAAACCTCTCGGTAAGGACATGCTTCTTTGGAACTGCACGTCGTCCAAGTCCGTCAACTGGACTGTGCTTTGAGCGTGAATCATCGGCGACTCTTCTACCACCTTTCCTAATTGAGCCTTCTAAAAATAAATTGATTGGGAATAGAGTGAAATAAAATTGAAACGACAACGTCGACTGTCGCTGCTGAGACTCTACCCAGTTGCTAAAGTAAAGCTCTAATGTCTGAATAATAATAACGTTTCTAAATTCTAAGGAAAATTGTTATCTTTATCAATCGTTTCACTCGCGTCAGGATTGAACTGTCTTCTAAATTTTTGAACGAAGTTTTGGTATTTTTTAACACATTTCTTGGAAAAAAACAATAGGTCAAATAGGAGAGAGAGAGAGATATACAATAAAAAAGATATCGAACATTGTTTCACGGGAATCGAATGACTCGAGGATATTACCTCGAACTTCTGAGAGCCTCCTAAATCATCGTCGCACAATCTCTTCGCACCCCCGGGCGCCTGAAGCCCGTTCGTTAATGGAATTCCAATGTTTCCAGTTCTGTCTCCTCTATCTCGTTGCCGTCTTTCCGATTCCCGCTTCACTATTCGCACGGTCTTAATCTCTTGTTTCTCACGGTTGTGGATCAAGCCTTGGAAACACACAAACAATTATCGTGAATCACCAATCTCTATTGTAAAGCCTGATGATGATAATTGCGTTATTAATTCGCCTACCGGTAAACTTGTTGTCCTCGTTCTGTCTGTAATTATCGTTCAGCAACGCTTCTTCGTTCAGGGGCGGTGGTGGTGGAGGTGGAATGTATTCCGGTGGAAGAATCGCGCCGTTTGTCAGATTTCCGTCTTGCTTGTTGTTCTCTGAAATTGCGTGAGGTAATTGAATATGGAAAATTTTTCATTGTCAGAAAAAAAGTAAGCATTAAAAACTAGAGAGACCTATGAATTAGAACTAACTGCATGTTAGTCAAAATACCTAGTGAGACTATATATCGTTTAAATCCAATATTCATCAAAAGTTTCCTCACTGAATTGAATTTCACTCCCTGCTTTTTTCAATAAAAGTTGAATTCGCCTCGAGTTGGAAAAACCATATATATTCCTTTTCTTTTCCCAAAAATTGTACTACTCCTTCTCACCTTGAATTCTAGAATCCGTGTTTATGTATAACGGAGCGACATTCGCCTGTATAAGGCTTCCTTTTCCTTGCATCTGATCCTTGAGAAGCTGTTGCTTCAATTGATGCTGGTGGATCTGTTCTCGCAACTGAGGAGAGAGGGAAGAAATATGATTCTGCGGCGATTGAGGATAGGATTGCAGGTTGGCTTGCTGACGACTCGTGGGTGATGATGAGTCTTTGATCTGCGTCGGTGAGTTGAAATGCGGATACGGGCCGCCGTTCTGCTTGCCACGGGGCGACGAGGATAACGCGGGACTCGATGGAGAATCTAAACCGTGATCCAATGTTATTCCGGAATCGAGATCGGTCTCCAACCAAGAGTTTTGCGTCCGCTTCTTCGGCTGGTGCACTTGAGGAGCTGCAATAGTAATATAATATGAGATAAAATTGTATTTGACCAAGTCTCTATAATATTATAGAATAATTTTGTTGAACTTGACACGATGGAACAATTCATTTGAAATTTGACAACATTTGTAATTTGTCTAATACAAAACTTCAAAGTATTCAAGTATTCAAGAATAAGTAAAGTATATTTCAGAATAACATTTTTTTTGTTATAACTAAATTTTTATTTTTAATATTTAAAAATTAAAATTCATTTAAAGTAGACATAGTTTTGATATTACTATTATTTTCTTTCAAATGTTTTCCACTGGGACGCTCATTTTAATGAATATTTCTCAATTCAATTTAAAAGATAAATGGATATTAAAATTCTTTAATTTTATTTGATTAATTTTCTATAATATTATAGAAAAATTTTGATGAACTTGATAGAAAAATTTATTTGAAGCAAAACTATAATTTAACAATACTTGTAATTGAGAAGTCTAGTAAATTTCCTATTTTTGAAAAGTATTCAGATATTTCAAGAATAACTTTTTTTTTTTGTTACATCTAAATTTTTATTTTCAAACTATTTAAAAACTAAAATTCATCTAAAGTAGACATAGTTTTGATATTACTATTATTTTCTTTCAAATGTTTTCCACTGGAACGCTCATTTTAATGAATATTTCTCAATTCAATTTAAAAGATAAATGGATATTAAAATTCTTTAATTTTATTTGATTAATTCTCTATAATATTATAGAAAAATTTTGATGAACTTGATAGAAAAATTTATTTGAAGCAAAACTAGAATTTAACAATACTTGTAATTGAGAAGTCTAGTAAATTTGCTATTTTTGAAAAGTATTCAGATATTTCAAGAATAACTTTTTTTTTTTGTTACATCTAAATTTTTATTTTCAAACTATTTAAAAACTAAAATTCATCTAAAGTAGACATAGTTTTGATATTACTATTATTTTCTTTCAAATGTTTTCCACTGGGACATTCATTTTAATGAATATTTCTTAATTCAGTCAATTCAATTTAAAAAATAAATAGATATTAAAATTCTTTAATTTAAACACTAGAATTATATTTGATTAATTTTCTATAAAATAGAAGAATTTTGATGAACTTATTTGATAGAACAATTCACTTGAAACAAAATGTACTAGAATTTAACAATAATTGTAATTGAGAAATTTAGTATAAAACTTGCCACATCCATTTATAAAAGGTATTCAAATGTTTATTGTAATCTGTTTTTCTGATATTTCAAGAATAACATCAATATTTTCCTTTGTTGTACATCTAAATTTTTATCTTCAATAGTTTAAAAACTAAAATTCACCTAGAACATACACAGACAAAGTTTTGATATTATTATCAAGTATCGTTTTCTTTCAAATGTTTTCCACTTGGGCGCTCATCTTAATGAATATTTCTTAATTCGGTTAATTCAATTTAAAAAAAAAGTGAACGCGATATTAAATTAAAATTCTTTAATTTAGGCCACTATCCGGTTATACTTTTATTAGATTTAACGTTAATCCGCAACAAGAACAAAGCTCACAACATCGGCTCACCAGAACTGGGTTGCGGTCGGATCTGCTGCACCAAGTTATGAGACTTCTCCGTGAGCTGTCTAACTTGAATACTCAATTCCTTTCGTTGCCTCTGCAGATCACCGACCAATTGTTGAACTCGTCTCAATTCCGCTTCGAGGGGGCCAGTGGTTGCCGAAGTGTCTCTGGTCACGTTCCCCGCGTATCTCCTCGACGCTTGAAGCTTCTGTCGAAGCACGACCAGGTCCTGTTCCAATCTCGCGTTCTCGGCCACCGTCTCTTCGAGTTTCTGAAAGCGAGAGATACGAGGGAAGATTACTCGTCGCTTACTTAACGCGTGTCAATAATAGTTGGACAAGCTAAGGTCGACGAACAGAACGAAAATTTATCTATTTCTGTGCTTTTGATTCATTTACCTGGAAGAATACCGGCTTTACCTGGAAACAATGAATGGGACGATTAAATCGATTAAATTTCTTTTTAAGAACCGCACGATGCATGCTATTTCTCTACTTTCTATATATATATATATTGTTTCGACAAGAGAGGAAAATCCTGATTACTTTCCACTTTGGAAAAAATTCTTCATTCTTTCCGAAGAATGGAACGAAATTCGAACGAAAGGAAAGTTCTCGATTGAATTCGTGTCTCTTTGTTGTCGGATAGGAAATCCGCGCGAAGCGAAATCGATTCAACTTTCCTATGCGAGAACAAGCAGCGCCTGTTGTTCGAGCTTCTCGAAGATTAAAACTCTAGAAAGAGGTTTTTTTTTTTTTTTACAAAACACGGCTTTATTTTAACTCTTTATTTGAATCCAATCGGAAACTGGTTGTTGAGAATGATTCAGATTCATCCTACCTTCGAGTTGTGCGCCAACAACACCCTCACTCTGCTCAGCTCTTTTTCCAACAGAAGCTGTTGCTTCCTGTATCTCTCCGCCTCGGCCAAATTGCTCCTGCTTCCTTGCAGTTTGTGCCGGAGGCCGCCTAAAGCTTTCTCCAGGATCTCCTGCAAATCGGAAATCGAAAGGATGTTAATTCGTTGGAAAAAGTGATCTCGATCGTTCGTTAATTTTATGCTATTTTCTCTCTCAAAAATCGTATGACTTTGTAACATTCATAGAATTCATTGAAATTTATATATTATGTACCATTTTATGACTCTTTGAACGATATATTTCACCAAATTAAACCGTTCAACGAAACGAAAACATAAGTTGATCGGATATTACGTGATCTTGCGCTATAACATATCAATCCCAAGTATACGAATACGTATATACACAACACTCGTCGCGTATCGCGTTAATGATTCACGAGCGCGAAGAGAAAGAACATTCTTCAAAAAAAAAAAAAAAAAAAAAAAGAAAAAAAGAGACGAGTAGAGATGGACGCGTTTCGGCATTTTCGGGCGGATCGCGTTACTCGCCTTGTCTTGCTGAAGACTGTGAAGTGTTCCGGATTCCTCCTGGAGCAACCGATCCAGTTTGTAAAGCTGCTGCACCTTGGCCTACGACACACAAGTGGCGCTGTGAGTTAACCTTGAAGCTTCTACCCGAGCGTGGAACGGATTCGCGTTTCAACCGGAATCTAGCGATTCCGCTAGAACGAGCGAATGCTCGTTGTGTCGTAATCGAAGAAAAAAAAGAGAGAAAAAAAATTGCGGTTTTTAACACAATGTCTCGTGTTTCAACGCGACAATCATAATACGTACACGTAAAGATGCACAAAGGAAGTTTAAATCGTATTCGAGTTCGTAATTTTCCAACCCACACGCGTCGTCTCCCTCTTTATTTTGTTCTCGATTTTCCAGGTCGGTATTAATGCACCGTTATGGAAGATCCCGCTAATTCGTATTTATCATGAGGACATTTTCTCGGTAGGTAAGGTAATTTGTAGGGAAGTGCACAAGAGTAGTATCTATTACGGTACAAAGGGAAAATAATTCTTGACGTATATATATATATATCAAACGAAACGTGTTATTCTGTCGATGTTTCTTACTTCTCTATACTTTTTATAACAGTTTGGTAGACAACCTGCTTTTTCCCCATTCCCGTTACTCTCTCGAGAAGGGAATATTTTTAAATACAGATTCTTCTTGATTTTCTTGTCAATGGGAGATTTTTCGATTGCATTTTTATTTTTGGAATTATTTTGTATCTCGTTATTCTTACTCCTCGAGAAATTAACAGTATTCAACGGAGATGGATACGGTCATAGACGCGCCTATCGTCAACACAATTGGTTTTTTTTTTTCGCGTATCAAAATATTGACGTTTCCCACTGGAGAAATGTCGATTTTTGATCCCACGTTGAATATGTCAATCAACAGCAGCTTTTGAAATTTTATAACGTATATTCTACAGGATACGATACACTTCGAACATTTTTTTACCAGTATCAACAAATTAACAAATAACACACACAAATAACAATATGATTACCAAATTTTAAAATTTCATAGTGTATAACCCCTAATAAATAATCTCTTGGCTTATTTCAAACTAAACCAAATTATTCAGAATCGCATCGAAGCTCGTCGATCAGGATTGTCAATCCTAACCAACGTCATCATTTAAATACAACATTCGATGATCGATACCTGTAATTGTCCATGGTCGGGGCTCAATCGGTCCCAGTCCCTTCGCTCCTCGGCTAGCAAACGCTGCTCCTGCACCTTCTGATTGAATTCCAACCGGTGATCCCTCGAATTGTCGTGCGCCAGATCGTGTCGCGAACCGGACACGCTGTTGGTCCCGTTGGCAGTGTTGCGATTGTAGAGGGAGCCCAACTTCACCATATTGTCGACCAGGTTCACCAACGGCTTGCCCTTCTCGTACTTGACGACAAAGTATATACATACATACATACATATATATATATATATACAGGCTGCATTGAATTTCCAACTTCGATCAAGTTGGCCAAGTTTCTCAATTAACGCTGGAAAAACTTGTCACCGCTCGATGGACGGAATAATTGAGCCAACGTCGAAATAAATTTCGTTTCGTTTTAATTCATTAACGCCACTCCACTCGCCATCGATCGTGTTCGATTTCGACGATTTTTCGACGTCTCGCGTTTAAAAAAAAATATCTTGGAAAAAATTTTCCAAGCGATTTCCAGGGGACGAAAATTTTATCGAGCCACTTTATTCGATCGAATGGAAATTTCTTTTTCTTTTACCTGCTTCTCGAGATCCATCAGATGCTTCTTCAGTTCGTCCAGCTTCTGAAGGTTCTCCAATCGTCGCGGGGTATCGAGTTCTGCCAATCTAGCCTGCGGGTCACAAAACATGGACGATTTGAAAAAAATTTCCTAAATTTCCAACGATTCTTTCTGAAGAATTCCACTACTCCTAGTCGACGAAATATTCAAAGTCGAGAACGAAACGATAATAACATTAATATCCTGTCAGCCAAGCGAAACGTCCATTTTATCCCAATTCTTTCCACGAGTCGAGAAAATTCGAAGACCACTGGTTCCACCAGTTTAGTTACTAGAAACTAGATACGAGAGGCAAGTGCACCGTCGTCCAATCCACAGAAAGAGAGAAGAAACGTCGTCCATCATATACAACACGAAACGACTCGAGCCTGGCGACGATCAACTTCAAGACGAAATTGGAAAACACATCGTACGCGCCTCGAACTCACCTCGAGAAGAAGAATAAAAAGGGGGGGAAAAAAAAGAAAATGGGACAACGCCTCGTTCGAAGTTTTAACGAGGGGCGAAGGGAACGGTCGAAAAAGTAATAACATTAATGCATTCGACGGTTGGGACGAGTGGAGGGGAAGGGGTTGGCGGTGTCGAACGATCGAAAGTATCCATGTGTTCGTGGCTCTCGAGAAAAAAAAAATAGTTCTAATTCTTCTTTTTAACCCTTTTTAACCCGTCGTAAATATATGTGTAATATAATTACGTTCTAGGGACTTTTGTTACTTGATTGGTAACCTTGTTAAAAGTATTATAATTCGAATAAATTTTTTCTTTTTTTGGGGGGGGAGGAATTTAAATTCGAAACGAGACGGAGAGAAAGAAAATGACGAATACGATGACGAGAGAGCGAGATAAAATTCCTGTCTCTTGTATCCAATGCAACATTGGTGAACGTGTGGGAACAAGAATCTTTTTCCTCGTTGAGAAAAAAATAAACAAAAACCTGGAGTTGTATATTATCACGCGTATTCGATCGAACGTAAATAAAAACGGTAGAATTATAAAAATTAGAAAAGTAGAAACAGTTTGAATTATATGTCATATTTGTACACGTGAACAGATCGTTTGGGAAAAGTTACGTATCGCCTCGGGGCAATCGAGTCGGGGAATGAAACGAGTTAGGTGAACGTGATCTTACGTAAAGTGGATTCAGAGTCGATTAGGCGTCTCGTGTTTTAGGCGCGAACGATAAATCGTGCAAACTATACACTGCCGAACTTTCTTTCACTGCACAAATTATTCGAAAGCGATAAATAAATTCTCGTATTCAAAAATTTCTCTTTCGAAGAAAAAAAAAAAAAAAGGAAAACATTGAAGAAATTCGTAGAATTTCGTTCGATCGATCATCAGGTGTGATGAAAAGAAAAAAAAAAAGAAGCGTCATGCTCGAGAACGTGGCGAACGATCAAAGGACAAAGGTGGAATTCTTTTCCGATTCTTAATGACGTTCTTCTCCTCGAAACCGATGTCCTTGAAACCGGTTCTCCGCGCGGCATTTTTCGCGCGGATAACAGGATTCTCGATCGCGACTATCTATCAACGTCCCCCTCTCTGAAAACATCGATTTTTTAAAAAAAAGTTCCACGAAATATGTATCTTCGAGACGAAAACACTCAGAAAGGCAAATGATGCGTTTCGTTCGTCGATCGAAAATCGAAAATTATTTTAAAAACGATAAAAGCGTCGTTCAAGTTGGAGAGCTTCTTTTCGTCCCCCCCCCCTCTTATCTTTCATTTTATATCATTTTATCATTTTCGCAAAAATCTGCACCCTCGAAAAAAAAGCTTCATCCACTCGAACGACACGAAACGAAAAAAAACGATGTAAAAAAATCGCAGATGCGAGTCGAAGAGGAGAGAAAGACCGGGAGTTGGAGACAGCCGACGACCGGATCCTCCTCGTCATGCCTCCTCCGTTCGTGTGTTTCTGAAAAATGTTCGGACCTGTGCCTCGATCTCCATCTGGCAGGTCTCCATCGCTTTGTAGATGGTGGCGTTCTGCCGGCGTAGCTGGATCAGCAGGAGCACCAACTCCTCGTGGGTCCTGCCGAGGAGTTCACCGGCGGAAACGCGAACCAGTCCGTGGGCTCCTTGCTGCGCCAACTTGCACCCACCCTCCGCTCGCTGGTTGCTCTGTCGAGGCATGCAATCTTTCGTTAGGGATTCGCGGGGGAAAAACTGAAGAACTGGCACTCCCCTCGCGGCGAACAATTCGGTGTGCGGAAAGAAGAACCGGGAGAAAAACCTTGTGACGTTGAAAAAAATCGTGGCGTCGATGCACACAGCTCAGCTCCTTTCGATTCGATCGATTCGATCGAGCTCTGAAAACGCTACTTTCTATTCTATGTATGCAAATCGAGCCGAGTTTCATTTTCTAGCTCATTTCCAGCTTTGGCAGAGATCGATGTTTTTCCAAACCGCGTGACCATCCTTTTAAACTTGCAAATTTTAAAAAAAAAAAAAAAAAAAAAAAATAATTTGACGCGAAATCATTAATCGACGCAAATGAGCCGTTGAAAATCATTGAGATGGAAAGTGAGAGCAACGGTCACGGCGCGCAGGTTGGGAACCACTGAGCTAGATCTATGTAAATATCGAACTAAATACTTGATATTATGGAACAGCGAACGGTTGTATGCTATTAGGCTTGACAAGTTTTTTTTAAGCTCGAGTTTATGTAAGGCTAACAATGAATTGGAATGGAATGATTAGAAAATTGAAAATGGTAGACACGAGATGTACGCGTTGTTGCAATGAATATAACGTTGTGTGACGAAGGAATTTCCACGACACGTTTTTTTTTATTAATCTTGACACCGAATTATTTCACCATAAGATAAGATTCAAAAGCGAGAGAATCTTTCGGCGTTTGTACGTTGATGCATGGTTAAGAAGCGTTTTCGGTGAATGATTGGCATGGGAAGAAAATGAAAAGAATGAAAAGAAGAGGAAAAAAGAGGCGTGAGAGAAAGAAAAAAACTGAAAGTAAATCCGTTCCATTGATCGAAAAATGCGGAAAATGGATGCAAGAAATAAAAATCGCACGAAAATTTGCTCAAACATGTATTAAGTAAACGATAAAGGAAATAACAGTGCTGAAATGATACTGAAACGAAGAACCTATATTATTAGCAAAAACCTAGGCTTGAAAAATCTACCAATCCATTCTACTAATAATACAATCTACTAGAAACGCTGCAGCTGTATGCACATGTATCCATCCACAATACACAATAATAATAAAGAATTTGCAATTCTTGTATCAACAAAATAACCTAATTTATCCATCGACAAGCCTAAATAATCCTAAAGAAAGTTACAAGTCCCGATAATATTCTTGATGTAATTAACACTAACTAACATAACCTTAAAAACACGTTCGAAATCACTACGCACACAAAACCTCTTTCAACAAACTTCGACAAACCTTCGATCTCTTTCTCTCTTTCTTTCTCTCTCATCTCCATCCAAATCTACCTGCATAGAATTATTCTCGACTCGTCGATCCTGCAAACGATCCTCCTCGTACCTGTGTTCAAGTGGTGCTGGCCGCAGGTTCGGTGGAAACCATTCCTCCTCTCTTTTCCATCGAACGAGACTCGGGGACGAACAACGAAGCTCAAAAACGAGACGAAAGGAGGCGATATCGTGGAGAAGGCCTCATATCGAGAGACGTTCTATTACCGTGAATAACCGTGGCACAATGGAGAGCGGCGAAGAGCGTCGCGAAGGTGGAAGGAAGACTTTGGAAGACTGGCGTGATGCCCGGCCTGATCGACTCGCCTGTTCACCGACTCCTACAGTACCCGGCATGCACCGTGGTTCCTTGCTCGGCTTGTCGAGCTATCGTTTTGTATGTTTTGCCTCGAGATCTGGCTGGCTTCGCCACGGCCTATGTTCCCTCGGTTAAGGCGGCCTTTGTAACTGGGATCTGATTATAATGTCCAGCTTAAATACCCTCTCTACAAGGAACGCTATTCAATTGATGAGAAAATCGCGCCGATCTTTTTTTCTTTTTTTCTCGAGATTGGAAGTGTATGTTGTCATAGAGGTTAGGAAAAACGTAGGTTAGAAATAGCGTCCAATGTTGACAGATCGTATGGATTATTTACATGAAAAACTGATTAACCATGTTCGAAAACTGTGAAAACTTTTGAATTTTAAATATATAATTGGTTTTTTCTTTTTTTTTGGATAGGAAAAAAGATTAGATTTGATCGATATTCTCTTTTTGTGATTGGGATCTGATTACAAATACAGTTTTTTTTTTTCTTAGATTGAAAGTGTATATTACAAAGATTATGAAAATGTAAATTAAAAATACTGAAAGAATGAAAATGGATAGGTCTCATTTTGAAAATGTTTGAATTTTTAGCATCAAGATGTATAATCGATATTTAATTTTTTAAAAAGACTTGATTAGCACATATGTGAATGTATATTCCTCTTGCTTTTTGAGCGATGCTGTTGTTTAAGGCTTGTTTCTTTACGGAACTTTTTCCTCGTTGGCTGATTCGACTTGTTCCGTTTGCTTGTTGGTTGCAAAGACAATAAACGGACACTGCTCGAAATAATTGGAAGATTGTGTTACGTTTGCCGGTCTAAAATAGTTCCGCTAAAATAATAGAAGCACAGAAATTGTTGCATTCCGTCTCTCGTGGAGAAATGTAGTTACAAAATATTTTTTCGAATTCAATTGTTCGATTCAAGAAACATAAGAGTATCGTAATAATACGCAAATACAAAAATATTTTTTCATTGGAATCGTTCTAATGAAATCTAGATTAAAAAAAAATAATATTAAACATATCTTGCAATTAAAATAATTGTTCTTTCTAAAATATTTTTCAACAAATAAAAAGCTTCTAAAATCATCAGATACATTTTTCAAAGATTATTTTAACCATTTTCTTGTTATATCTTTTATTTCGTGTATTTAACAACTATCTCGAAGACTCGAAAAGACATTTTTAAAATTTTCTATTGTAACAGGGCTGTGGAAACCATTTCCAGTGGCGACCGAGATTTTCGGATTCTTTCTTCAAGAGAAACTCGAAAAAACTCTTCGACTTTCAAACCATCGGGATTAAGACCTTCCAGAGTCTCGAGACTTTTAAGTTTTCGAGAATTCGGGCAGCTTTTAACGGTTCAAAGAATCGTCCCTACCTGATATCGTCGTTTTCGAGTATCCTAGCTTTTCAAACGATCTTATTTCGACAGAACGGATATACTTTCGCGGGGGAAACTCGCGAAAACTTTCATCCTTCCTTCCATCTTTATGGATAAGATCGTATAAACAAACATTGACAATATCCTATTTGTCGAATCGTTGCCTATTTTTTTGTAATGGCGCAAATTATTATAATATTCAACTTTTTTTCATGGAAATTTACCTTATCAACGATTCAATGAAATGATATTAAATATTCCAATAGTAAATTTTATTAAATTCGTCTTCATTGTCTAATTATGAAAAAGAAAAAAAAAACAATAAATGCAAAAAATATAAAATCGAGTTTTTCCGTATCTTTAAACAATTGCTAAAATTTTGTTGAAATTCTTGAAATGAAATATATTTAGTTGAAAAAAAAAAATTAATTTGTTACGAATATGTTCTTCGATAGAGATTAGAAACTCAATGTTTAAGTTGCGAATATTTGAAATATCTTTCTACATTAATACAGCATCAAAAATAATAAGTTTCTTTTCTTCAACAACGTCGAACATAATTAAGCTCACCCGTTCCCACAGCATCGATCGAGAATGGATCGAAACAAAGAAATTGTTCGGGTGAATGTTTAACGAACGATATAACGCTGTACCAACATTCTATTCAAGACGAATTTCCATTGTGGAGGCAGCTTAAGGCCTGTCTGCAGTTGCCTGGCATGGTGCCCTTGCTGACCACTGCTGACCGTATGCAGGATCGACCCTGGCCCTTGCTTCTCTTAATCCTCTTTTCTTCTCATCCTTCTCTCGTTTACCTCTTTCTCCTTCTCCCTCTCCTTCCAACTTCTTCATCTTTTTCTTCTTTAACTTCCACTTCTTATCTTGTACTTCCCCTCTCGAGTTTTTCATCCTTCTTTTTCGTCCTCACTCGAGAACCTTTTCAACCACTATCTTTCTCAAACATACGTAGTAGGAGGACAACGTTTGTGTTACTTTCTCGTTGAATCCGCGTGTCCTGCAGCGTCCAAATAAAGAGACGGCTCGAGAAGGGAGGTTTGCTTGCTTTGCTTGCTTTCCGGTCTGTTTCCATTCGTATTCTCGAGTGCGAAATGGTGTCGTGGAATTTCTTCGATATGATTCGATAAAATGTGAAAAAAGAATTCCAAGATTATATTCAATAATTTTTAGATATTCGATACGTTTAAACAGTCAAGATTTGAGAGTTAGACAACACGATTTTATTGTCCAAATATTTGCGATAGAAGGACAGGTAACATTATTCGATTGGAATACTAAACGTCCTTTCGGAACGGAAGCCAAGAAAAGAAATTCGTGTTCAAGAATTGCGATAAAATGAGGACAAGTTATATAATATTATGCACATGTAACAATCGTAAAAAGTTTCCTCGAATTGCGTCCCTTGTAAAGTGAATTTTTTATTCCAAGAAGTATAATTATATATATAATTATATATTTGTATGTGCGCATAACGAAGTGCAGTGAAGTTTATAGAGTACTTTTGTGTACAAAAAAATCATGCTGAGAGAAGTAATTATATATGTTGTCAGAATCATGCTGAACATATATTAGGCATACTTGTTTTAAACATGTAATTATTTTAAGCGAAAGAAAAATTATTATTTGTTTAAATAAAACGTTTATCTTATTAGTGAAAATAATTAAATTTCGATTCAGACAATTTTAATTAATGAAATTATTTCGAATTAGAACGAAGACTAATTATATTATAAAATAAACAAAATATGAATTAATAAAGAAAGTTCAATAGATTTTAACAAGAATTTTCCTTTTCTTCTTTTCTCCTTCATATCAAAGTATCAAATATCTTGTTACTATCATATGAAAATATCATTATTAACAGCGATAATTCGATATATAATATTCGATTATATTGAATGAACACCGTAGTAATTGATTAAATTTCAAATAAAGAATGTCACAATTCATTGAAAGCATCTTAATATATTTAGACAAGAAATATCTAAAATCTATTTTCACTTTTAGCTTCAAATCAAATTAAATTCAAAATATTTTCTACACGGTATTGAATTATCAAACGATCCATCGCTATTATCAATATCACAGAATTCGCAATAGTCATATATGATGGCTTGATATATACATATACATTACGTTACATACGTTAGGTGAGCAGCACAATATTAATTGCAACCGAAAACTTCAATAGAGAATGATATGATTCATCGATCTCGATATAGCAAGCATCTCGATATGTCCGTGAAAGAATAAATCCAAAATCTTTTTCTCTCTTAACCTGAATCAAATTTAGTTTAAAATACTCTTTTTTTTCTTTTCTACTCCACATTAGTCAGATATTTCAATATTAATAATACGATAATATCATTAGAGAATTTGCAATAAACTCGAGATTGTCTCTAATAAATATATATATACATCTATGCTAAATGAGCAACGAAATATTAATTGCAACCGATGAAATCACCAGGAGAGAATGGCACACGTGTTCGTTCTTATCGACACACACGCATGCATGGTAAAAGATGCATCTCTCCTATTCTCGATCGCGTATGATAATGAATTTCTGGGACAAGCAGGTTGCGCTAATGAAAATGCCTGGAAACTCGGCATCAAACGGACGCTGTTGAATCGTATTCTCTTCTTCTCGGACATCAGATTGGAAACATCGAATCCAACCAATGGTTGGATTCCTCGCGTAAAGGGGACCCTACGCGTGCATTCGTGAGTTTCAATGGCTTTCATTGGTTCCTTCGAGCATATCGCTTGTCCTCTTCCATAATGGATATCATTCTCTCCAGACTGTTCCCGGTTTCGAATGCTTTATACACGTGTCGAACGACTTGCCTGCGTTCACAACTCAATACATTTGATTCGATGTTTTTCATCCAAGGATCAAATTCTCAATACGAGATATCGACACGAAAGAAAATCACTATATACTGACTTGTCGAACATTGTGAAAGTATATTCTAGAAGTATAAACTATAGTGTCGGTGGTAACTTAAGGAGGATACTAGTGTAGCCCTCTAGTGATAATTTAATACAATTCACTTAGGGCTAATCGACATCGTTCATGTGTTCTTTGGCAAGTGATTTTGAAGTTCGAGTTTAAAGCTCTGTGTGATCAATAGTTAGTGGAACAGTTTTGATGAAGTTTGGTTGGATTTGTGCTGTTTGAATTGCAAAAGTTTCATTAGTTTTCCGTATCAGTGTTGTCTGTGAATATGAATATCGAAAATATGGTTAATCTTAGAAGTGACTTTTTGATCTTTAATAAATTGTGAACACCTTGTTTACGAGACAATTCTTTTATTTCTATTAAAGTTGAAAGTTACTAAATCTATTGAATTTAGTATATTTGAATTGGATGATTCGTAACTTTGGACCAGCAACATGTTTATTCGATCAGATACGAAGTTTAACAGTCTAACAACTAATCGATCTACGTGTCTAAACAAACGTGAACTAACCAAAGTCGATAACTCGACAAACCACAGCCACGTGTAAAGTGAAACTTTAACACGATGACCGTAATATCCCTTGCTATAAACCACAGTTCTAACGTTTCCACATTTTCCGCCTTAATAGATAACCTATCAGAGTGCATAACTGAACAATTAATCTAAACAATAACTAATATACAGAAATCATACATCTATAACAATAAATACTAAATAATACACTACTTTTGAACGATACACTGAGATCTTTTCGTAATATTTTCAAATATTTTCAGTTTCTACAATTAGACGTTAAAAACAAAGTTATACAATAACATTATTTTATATTAGCAACAATGTTTAGAATACATTAGCAAAGGATTCTAATGCAAGGTTAATTAAAATTCTACTCGATTTTTACCTAATCCTTTTCAAGCAACAGCAAGGTTTTTGCAACTAACCAATACCGAATCGGTGGAATAATCTAAACAAGGTTTCGATCGACTTATTCGTCGCGCAGCAATACAAAATTGAACGCGATAACGAGGGAACTCGTATGAGCTCGATCGTCTCGAACATTCTCGCGGTCACGAAAATCGGAAACGCATTCGTAATTAATTCCACTCGTACATCGCTGCGAAATCGGCGGCTCACCCGAGGCAACGTTTTAATTAATTAGACTAATGGAATTTACATGCTGGAACGATAATGCGGACTACTGTACACTCGCGAAAGGACAGAACCTTGGGACAAATCGTGTAACGTGCGAGCGTGTTTGGTTTGCTTGTCGCGTGATATTAATTGCGTGACGTACGCGTGAAACGTGAAAAAACGGTGAAAAAACGATCACGGAGAAGGAAAGGAATAGAATGGAAGCTAGGAGAATAGAGAAGAGTGTGAGAAAAAAGCAAGTGATCAGCAGAAGCTGTGTGTCGTTATATTGGATTCCTTTCTCTTTCCATGCTTCGCCATGCCAATCAACTCGAAGGTTCCGCTTGCGATTAACTAATCTTTCGCTCACCCTTTTGTGCAGCAACTCGTTGTACTCCCATACTCGTTGATTCTGCCTGATAGCCGTGCCTCCACCACGATCCACTTCTCTCCCGATTGGGCTCACCATTTTCCTTTCAACTGTAAAATATATTGCGAAAATAAGGATTAACAAGCGTTTTTCATGTGAGATGAGATTTGTCTTGAAGCAAATGATAGATTTAAAATCACTTGGAATTATTTAAATCGTGTCATGCGTAGAGGTTAGAAATTTCAAATCGTTTTATATCCGTCGCTTATTTTTTGTAGAGTAGCATAAAGTGGACATTTTTGGAATGAAGGAATTTTTTTTCATGAATAAAGAAAATTAAATAATATTTTATTCTCGTATTTTTTGGTATCGTTCTATTATGCACTATCATTCAGGTATTCTTTTTTTTATAAATAATATTTCATTCTTAGATTTCTCCAATAGATATCAGAAGATTTTTTAAAATAAAATAAATTTTTAATTTTGAATACATAAAGAAAGTTAAATAAAATTTTATTTTCAGATTTTTTTTCTATGGAGTAGCAGTGATATTTATTTCGAAGTTCACGATACTTAAAATTTCTTACAAAAAATATACTTTATATGAGCACATGTGAATATATGACAGGAATATCGATGATAAGAGACTTTTCCTTTAATCGTAAGTGAAACCTGGTAGACGGAAATATAGAAAGTGGCACTTTATATGCACAGTAACTGACCCAGACAAAAATTCAATATGAGGTAAATATTGGCTCGATATCGCTTAATCGCTATTGGCATTTGAGCATTGACCATTTTCGCTAATATTTGCTCGATAAATTATTCAGTTATATCTGATAATACATTAAGTATATATACGTATATACACATTTATGTGCATTAACGTAAAATTTCAACAGCCGCAACATGGTATTATAATATTTATTACGTCAATTTAAAAAGTAAAAAGAAAAAAAAAAACTGTCTCAAAGCTTGATGAATAAAACCAGATAATTAAATCCTCAATTTTTCTCATGACAAACGACAGAAAGGAAACAAATTTATTATTAACAAATCAATTTAACCAAAGATTAAACTTATTTCTCACGAGACAATGGCAGTCCCGTTCTATCCATTTCTCTAATTCTCTGATATCCTTTAGCGAGAAAGCACCTCGAAAGAGGTTAGCGGTTTGCCCCAATGTACGTGGGATTTCTATTATTCCTCGTGTCGCTTTGTGCGCCTAGCGCCTTTCCCCGCGGATATCTGAATAATTAACCCCACGGCGAGCTTCCACCCTTCTTCTCTTTTCGAGAGAGTTCACCCCCCAATTTCCCCTCCCTCTTCTGATATTAATTCCTCGAGTTCGGATTCAATTTGTGCGATTACCTTCTTTCCTCGTACTTGCTTTTTATCCTTCATGTTCGAACAAGGATCGAACTTTCCGAAGAATTTTCGGGAAAGAGACTTTGAAACGTAATTTAATTCCGAACGATATTCGTGTTACGACACGGTGGGGTCGGGGTGAGTAAATTTAGAGAGACTGAATGAACTTTGCGCGAATGTTGGACGAGCGTTTGGGACGGGGATTCAATGGTTATTTGTGTTAGAATTAGGACTGTGTTGGAAATGTGGATGAAGAAGGATTAAGATTTTAAAGTTATTATTTTGGATAGAGTGGATTTTGCTAATTTTTAAGAAATTTATATTTGTGTTATTTTCAAATTGTTTTGTAAATTATTTCTAATTTATATTGTGGATATGTCTTCTTACTTGGACTGTGAACTCGTATGTCGCTGTCGCTAGGGCTGGAGACTCGATGGTCGTTCATGGAAACGATCCTTAACGCCCCGGCCGGGCTCATCAATCGTTGAGTAGCGTGTCCACCCGGAGATGCTAACCTCACGTCCTTTCCATCGTTGTTGTTGTTCAACCTGCAACGTTTTCACATTTTCTTCTTCCAATCGAGTCTAAATCTTCTTATTGCACAAGATTTTCTCTCGATTTGTTATAATTCACTTTAACGCGTATATCGTATCGTGAAAAGTATCCAAGTAGCTGGATAACAATTAATCATTGAATATAACGGGATAATATAATGGAACAAAAGCGGCGGAAGAGATAAAACGTTAGGAATGGGATTAAAGAATTTATTCCCCCGGTTAAATTACTTAATTAATAAAACTGTCACGATGCGAAACATTTTTCAATATTCGCCACGGGAAACGTAGAAACTCGACTTCTTTTCTCTTGTCGATATTACAATTGTAGCGTTGTTGTTCGAGTTAAAATCGAACGATTCGAATATCTATTAACAAACGAGTCGAAAATTTTATTCCTCCCTCTATTTCAATTTCTATGCATGTCCCCTGCACGAATGCTCGGAATAGTTTTTTTTTATTATGGAGGGAACACGATCGGACTAGAATTGCTGACGACGTTCGAAAGCATACGCTAGTTTCGAGTCCCTTAACGTGTGAAACAGCCGGGAAAAATGTGTCACCGGGGGAATTCCAATGCCGGGGCGCGATGCTTCCTCCGAGCCAAGAATGCTCGAATTCGTCCACGGTAAGCAGTTCTCCAATTTTCGAAAAATCTTTCGAAAACGTGACTTTTTTAAAAAAAAATTTTAAATCCTCGCTAAGGAGCATTTAGTTAGCCACAATTATACACACAATCTTGATAAATATTAAATGGAATTTAAAAAATATTTAGAAAATTAATCAATCCTAATTAAAAGTGTATATATAATCATTATTCCTCCGCTCTATATTTAGCTTTTCTCGTTTAATTTAATTCATTCAATTTTCTTTTTTCCTCCCATCTATTGAAAAATAGTGTTTGCATCGTTTCTTCTCGATTCAACTCGACTCGCAATTTTTTCGAATGGCACATTTATGTGGAAAAAAAAAATTTGTTTGCATGGCACTTACATCGTGGATCCGGTTCCAATGTCACCGTTGCTGGCGACTCGTAATACCTGCGAATTGGTCATGTCGTTTTCCGATTGTCTGGCCGATTGAGGGGTGGATTGGTGAAGGGGCAGGGGCTGCCTGTGCGTGGCATTGCTCCTCGGCAATGGGAGGGTGGACACCGTGGCCGGGGGTTGCGTTTGGGTTCTTTGAGCCAGTTGTGAAGTGCTGACAGCTCTCGGCGGAAGTGGATCCCTTCCTATCACCGATCCAGACCCGGACGCTGCGAATAAAATGTTGCCCGTCATGAAACAACACCGCTCCTCCTCTCCGATATGTATCGCGAAAATGAATGAATTTTCGATGTTTGTTTAATGTTGAAATTAGAAAAAAGTCTGGAGGGGAAGAGCATCATCAATTTTTTTTTTTGTAAAAGAGTTAAACAAATTTCAACGAAATATCGAATGTTTCGTTTTAAATAGAAAATATTTTGAGAGTTGTTGTTATTCAAATTGAATCAAGTTAAGACGATATTCAGTGATTTTCGAACGAATATTTTTCCTAATATTTAAGTGTTTAATGCTGAGAATGTTTCACAAGATTTTTAACATATATTTTCTTAATATTTAAATGTTTAATTCACTTAATGTTGTTTCATATGTAAAAATGTCTGTTGAGAATGTTGAGAAAAAATTAAATTAAATTAAGACATTTAGTGATTTTCACAAGTCAATGCATATTTTTCTTAATATTTAGGTGTTTAATTCACTTAATGTTGCTTCATATATCCTCCATCTGCTGAGAATATTTTACAAGATTTTTAACATATATTTTTCCTAATATTTAAATGTTTAATTCACTTAATGTTGCTTCACATATAAAAAAATATCCTCCAAATATCTGTTAAAAATGTTAAAAGAAATTGAATTAAGTTAACAAGACGACATTCAGTGATTTTCACAAGTCAACGCATATCTTTCCTAATATTTAAATGTTTAATTCACTTAATGTTGCTTCATATATAAAAATATCCTACATCCGCTGAGAATATTGATTGAATTAAGATATTCAGTGATTTTTCACAAGATCTTCAATGATATTAAATGTTTAATTCATTTAACGTTGCTTCATATAGAAAATGTCATCCTCCATCTGCTGAGAATCAAAGTATTGAAAGAGTACTCGTTTGCAAGGGGAAGGTTAAAGTATATTATTGAATATTAAAGGGATACAAGTTTCAATTAAATATTTCTCGTGTCATTATTTGTGTATGTATATGAATAATAAAAATAACGATATATATATATATATATATATATATATATTCGAGGCTAATAATAAATATGGCCTCCCTCGAGGAATGTCGAGAAACGGCATAACCACGTACAATGACGCTTTCGATATTTACGATCAAAATGGCACGCCGCGTCTAATCTTTATTTCTTGGAAAAAGCAATGCAATCGCGGGACTTTCACCTTAGGAATTTCCTGCCCGCACTTTACACTCATCGCGCCTTCAGTTATTTCGTGCTGCGGTTAGGGAAACGTTCATCTGCACAATACAATTGCAACGTTAATATTCATAAGTTCACAGGAATATCGATTCGAAATGAGCGATGCGATTTCTCTTACCGCTTGTAACTTCGTTTGTAAAAAGTTTGTAAAAATCTTGTGTGCATCAGGAAAAAAGAAAAAAATACTTGACGAGATTTGTTTAAATTTGGTTTAATTCGGCATAAAACGTTTAACAATTAATTGGTGATTGAATAAAAATGAAAAATAAATTCGATACTTTTTACTTAAACATTTGAACGTTATTCTTGCGATTGATAAATTCAAAGACTCTGTCCGGGATTTTATATTTGATATTCGATATAATCTGTCTGAAAGAAAAAAAAAATGAGTTTTATAATGTAAAATTTTTGAACATACACGCTTTTGATAATCGATAAATAATGATTTTATTGATTTAATTCTCTCGATATAGAGACAGATATTACGTTTGAATAAAAAAAAAATTACGAATTAGAAAAATGACAATTCTGTAGATTTGAAAGGTAGATTTATTCTGCGAGCACTCGTTCGACGCACAGATTGAAATTGGCGAGCAAGGATACTCGGGACACAAAAGAGTAGATTTAGTAATCTAGAGAGTCTTCTCATTGTACTCGAGAGATAAATTCAATTAACTCAAGGGCGGAACAGGTCATTGTTGTCACATTATTCTTCGTAAAATCAATTTGTATACACCGATACGATACACCAATACGCATCGCGAAGCGTGAATGTGGAGGACTGAAAAGGAAGAAATTTGAAATAGTGCATTTTTACATTCTTCGTCTATTAATTTCCATATTCGAAATCAATCGATATGTACAAGAAAAGTGCAGAAAATGCAAGGGGGGGGAGGAAAAAGAAGAAAAAATATGTCACCGTTTCATTATTGAAATTCGAGCCGGGTCCTCCTCGATCGAATTTGAAATTCCGAAGCGGATGCGACGACGCGGGCCAAAGTAATTGAATCCAGCCTGCTATTTTTACGAACAACGGGCGTCTGTTAACGCGAACGATGCGGGGAATTTCCCGTGAAAATGCAATGAACACGGGGACACCTATTGCAAGAAAAATTGGAACGCGAAAAATTTCCAATGAACTTTCGTGTAGCATTTTCATGTAACAATCGATCGAAATATTGCGACGAATTAATTGCAATGCTCGATTCGTCAAGGTTTCAAAGGAATTATTTCGAGGGATAAATTCGATGCCGTTTGGTGATAAAGCTAAATTTACAATTAGAACGACCTTTCCCAATGTAATGTAATTTTGAATTAGTGTCGCGACGGTTTTAGGTTACCTTGAGTTACGTTCATTCGCACGGTAAAACGAGCATCCGGTTTTACGAGGATTAAATGATATTATTTTCGTCGAAGGTATGGATAGTGATAAGTGGCGCGAGAAAACGTTTCGAAAATAAACAACATTTGTCGATATTCAAACTATTAAACAACTTCGCATGAATTCAATATTGTACGCGTTTCCACTGTGCAATATTTTTGTTACTTGTACAGAATTATACGAACTCGATTTAAAATTCGATCACAAGAAAACAAATAGCAATAACATATTTTCCACTTTCCTCTACGAATAAATCTGCAATCTCCAAATTTATAAAAAATTCGTATTTTTCTTCCTCTCCACCTGATGAACCTGATCCTTGTTCAAGAATTCCATAATGTTCCTATGGCTCGCGAGATTGTAAACAGACACTTGTTCCGTGAAGGTTCTTTCCGTTTCCATGGCCGCTAATAGATCTAAACAAAGAGTGACTCTTTTGTTCTGTTTTGAGCCCGGTCTGCCTGAGTCGATTCTCGAATAGCATCAATGATTTTGCACGCTAACACCACTCTTTGTCAAGGTATTAGGAAGACACTTGTTCGTCTGTAAGTTGTGTACAAGTAACCGTCCAGGCATGGAATTTTTTTGTCCTTGGACTATATCGCGATTCGAGCACTGCTCGCGACGTTATTGGTCATTGGCACGCCCCACCAAGAACTAGGCCCGTCCCAATTAGCCAATAAGGGATTCGAGTTAAGATGATTACTTCTCTAACCACTTACAAAATAAATTCTGATGACGATCGCGTCGAAATTCAACATACGATGATCAGTTAATTGTAATAGACCATCGAACACGATCATCATTGAGACTCTCGTGGAAGATACTGTTCTCCAATAGTCAGCGCCTAGCAGTTAACTAGCAATGCAGTTAACATTGCTTCGGACGCAAACACATAGGTTCTCGGGCCAATCTCGATGGGGGAAAGGGAACCCTTCGAGCGTGTGGAAACCGCGCCGAAATTCCAAAACGTCGCACAAGTTTGAGAGGAGAGGCGGAGCGCGCGTGTCGCGGCATGCGGAACGCGCGTAAAGAGGAGTCGAGGGCATAATTGAATCTCACGGCGGCGATGCGGGGGCCATAATGAGCAGCCGGATGTTTTGCGGACATGGGAACGGCATGGAACGAAATAGAACGGAACTGGTGGTGGTAGTGGTGGCCGGCTGAGGGGAATTACCGCAGGAACCCGCCTCGTTTCAACGGAACAGAGGCTGGAGACACGCGGGAAGGGACGATTTATCACGTGCAATTAGCCTCAGCTTCTGGAACCAGGCCATCCGTGCGCGTGTACGCTTACGTAAGGAATACGGGCTGGATGTGAATATGATCCGTCTTTGTAGCTGGAACGGATTTTTCTTCGTTTCTATCTCTCTAGTTTCATTTCAATGTCATAGCAAGCGATTCGATCATTGTTCGATGACCATTGATTGAATTTTAAATCTAGAAACGATTGATTTTTTCAATTGTGCGTGATTATTTTTCTTTTTCTTTGGTTGATGCGAAAAATTAAGAGAGGATAATTCAGGAAATAATTATTCTTTTGTTATTAAAATTATTAAGTGTTCTGATATGAGACATGGATTAGAATATAAAGTCAATTTTTTTTTTAACAAGAATTAACAAAAAAAAGGAATAAGAGGTTTTCAGTATCGAATCGAAATTCAAATGAAAGTTTAAATAGAGATTTAATTTACATGGAGAAGTCGTAAATGTAATGAATCATGCAGAAAGATATATTTTGGTGATGAATATAAGGATTCCATTTATAAATTTTTATAATCAATTTCTTTTCATAATCAATAAATTTTAAGCTTTGCAAATAATCCTTTGATATAAAATACTTATTGCTTTTTATAAATATATATTCACCATATTTCATTTCTGATTCTCAAAGTGTTGATAATATTTAATATATAAAATTTTGTATAATTATCCTTACTCATAGTAAAAAGATAATTTGTAAATAACATATTTTGTTTTCTATTTGTCATACATATTTCTTTTCATTGGCATGTAAATATAAATATTACAAACACATATATATATATATCAAAAATTTTTTTACTTAAAGAAAAAAGATTTTTTCTTTCAACTGAATCTCGCGTTAAAACAAATTGTATTTTGAGGAAAATCTATTTAAGGAAGAAAACATAAGAAATCGGGATAAATCTGAAGCAGGACAAAAGGAAACGCGGACGAATCAACAACTTTCTATCGACCACACCGAAGATACACACTTAAAAAACTCAATTTCCTCGTTTGTCCCTAAGAAATCATATTAAAGTTTCACTTTAAGCTATTGTTCTCCACTTCAAGCTATCGTCCTCCACTTCAGACGGCGCTCGAGCAGAAAATTTCATCCCTTGTTTTGTGAACGAGGAAAAAAATCCTCATAGATAAGATGGAAAAAGAATACAGTCGAATATAAGTCTCTAATTTTTATATATTTCCTTCTACTTTTGAAAACTTTCACGCACTAAATAAATTTATTTACCAACTTCCTTCCTATTAAAATATATCTTAATCTATCTTTGCAAATCAAATTTAAATTTAAATACTCATTCTTATAAGATAAAACAAATAAAATGAAAATTGATATGCAGAAATGTTAGTTGAAACGTATTTATATATCAAGTTGAGTGATGAAGATTCAATTTACAAAATTAAATTGCATATAATTTAATAATTAAATTTCAATTTTTATATTTGTTTCGACATTTAGAATCAATCTTCTCAAATTTATAAATAAATAAAGTGATTTTATCTTCGATAAATGAAGCGGTTTCCATGCACGATGATGTTTATTTTCTTTTCCTTTGAAGGAAGATTCTTCTTGCCAGATGCATCGAAACGAAATACATTAAATAGCAAAATCGATCGCGAACGGTTCCTCGACATTCTTTTCTCGCGATGGAATGCGTGACGGTGCATTAAAGATGACTACAATTTGCCGCGGCCATTCTCAAACGATTCTTTTTTCTTTTTTTTTTTAAGCTTCGATGCATTTCTCGCATTCACCAGTAGCTTCGACACGCGGCGACCTTTCGTTCCGATTTTGTCCGTGAAACGTTGACGTTGATGAACCGATTGATCGAGATAGGTTTGGAATGTGTGCTCTGTTTCCAAATGAACTTTTTGTTTAGAAAGTTTCCGATGCGTTTGTAGTATTTCTTTTTTGAAAATTGCTGTGTACGTTTAAAAAAAAGAAACGTTTTATTAAAAAGGATACGAGAAAAAGTCGATAGTTTCTCTTTTTAATATGCACTTGTTCAAATATCTGAAATATATATGCGACTCATTATATTGTGAAAAAGAAAAAATAGCATGATAGAAAAATTGAAATGAACAGTTTGAACAAATTTTTATCGCTTGAAACTACTGTTTCTTTCTTTTTTTTTTTTTTAGCACGGAATTTTAAAACTTAAGCCAAAATTGTAAAGGAGTTGAAATAATTAAACGTGTTCAGAACACCGTGCACAACAATGCACCTTTTTCAATTAGGCGGGTGAAAAATCTCGGTGAAATGCTATCGCTAACAAACTGTTCGAAAAAAATAAAATAAACCTGGATGAAATATAATCTTCGTCCAGATTACTTTTTATATTGGCTTGTAATTGATTATACGAAATGCGGATTTGTTCAGTCCATATTCCCGAATCGTTGCTCTTCCATGACTTCTAAATTGCCTCACGTTCAATTCTGTTTATCCTCCGTACCTTTATTAATGCAAAACCATTTTTTCTCATTAATTCTAATTTTTTTCTACTTCAGTTTAAGTATTTAAAGCATAATTTAATTCGTTCGATATATTAATTTTATTACATTAATTTTACCTGTTTACGTTTCATCAATTCCAAATATTCATCTCGAAGATCTCAGTGTTATCGGATTGGGAAGTAAAAATCATTTTACAATGGAAAGGAGGAAGCGGCAATTCACGATGATTCAAAAAGTTGACACTTTAGTTATACTTATTAGAAATTGCACGCGCAAATCGCGATGAAGTCCAAAGGTATCTGAAAAAATGTGTTCGGTGCATTAGAAATAGGAAGAGCCGATTGCGTCGAAGATTTACGTCGATCGCAGCTGTCGCTTTTGGAATTCGGTCGAAATATCGGAACAGTGACATAGCATGGCGGATGTTTGCGATTTACATGGATTTATCTGAAACTGCAGCTCGACAGTGTGGACAAAAAGCCGATGCTTTTTCTATTTTTGCATTTTGGTAAATACAAATCGTGACACTTGTTCCAAATTTTTTAAATTTCCATGTCCGTGCAATTACTGAAATATAATTATATAATTTTATAATTTGTTATTTTCTATATTTGATTTTTAATTAAAAAACATTGCGCGAAACGAAAGCAAATTTTTGTTTTTTTTTTTTTTAATGAAATCGTACGATAAATATAAATTAAAATTAAAAAACATTATTATATAAGTAAAATTTAATTTTGATTTCGATACGCAATATATTTACTTAATGGTATACATAACCTTAAATCGTAATTTCAAATTTTCTTTTTTTAATTAAATTTACTATAACGAATTTTATAATTCACATCAACTTTATCCGGTTTTATTTGTCGTATTTTCGATATAAATAATTCATATCTCAAAATGAATTAAATCAATTACCTGTGTATTACATCAAAAAGTTAACAATTCCATCGAATGGTATTTCAGCTAATTGATAGACTTTTGTAAAATCGAATAACATTTTCAGATTTTTCTCTTCGTTCTAAAATCGAATGAATTTCTTCGATTGAAATATAAATACAAAGCATAGAGAAATGTTCGTGCACCATTCAATTACGTTTGGTGTTGAATATTAATTGGGAAAGAATTGATCTCTTTGCTATTTTATATGAAACTTTCGTCGATATTTCCGTTCCTTAATTTAATTTATCTTTTTGCAATAATGATATGGAATAATTTTAAAATTGGAGAAATGTATGTCATGAGAATACTTTTAAAAATGTCAAATTTTTCAATTATAAAATATCACACGAGTAAGATGATTAAGCGAGTTCAAATATAAACTAACATTGATGATTAATGTTTGTCGAATTGTAAAATATCAATTTGCTATTTTCCTCTCTGAATATATTCGAATTTAAGAAAATTTTTATTAATATATTCACGAAATTTAGAATATTTTTCCAATTATAAATTATACCTGAGAATAGAATGCCATTGATTTATTCTCCAATAGACATAAACATGTTGTCTTATAAAATATACCAATTAATATTTTCTTCGGGTTTCACTTTTTATAAATGATAAATTTGCACTTTTATTAATTCCTTTAAAATTGAATATCAATGAAATTGAAAGATTAATTGAAATTAACTAAACCGATCGTACAGGTTATTAATTCATCGAAATCTGCCATGTTTAATATTGACATATCGATATATACTACTGCAATCGATGTGTACTATGATTACCAAAAATATCCCTTTGCGCAAATGTAAAATTCCCCAGGCGGAACTAGAATGAAGTCACGCACAGATCGACATAACGGCGTCGTTTCTATGACACCTTGATCTTTTCTGGTGCCAAGTGGAGCGTCTATATTTACCGGACACACGCGAGCACACGCGCGCCATAGCAAGTTCCTGCACGCTAGTGGATAATGTTGGTGGATTAAATAAACCGTCGGATTAAATAGCATCGCTGCATATTCGTTCTCTCGTGGCACGAGGACTGTCCGGCAAATAGGTCGACCATGGGCATTCAATCTTGGAAGAACGAACGGATAGAAGTGGTATCGTCGTATCGTCGACCATTTTTCTTTCGGTCAACGGACACCCATTTTATATTTAGAACGGGCATGGTCGCGACGGTAACTTTTCGTTGCGCCGGTTGTTTTGTCTGAATTCGCGTGACGCAAGCGCATTATTCGCGCGCGTTTCTGCCATTCCTGTATCGACTGAACGATAATTCGACAATACTTACTCGCTACCACTGAGATAATACTGGAAGATTGATCGATGAAAAGAGAAATTTACGGGTACCATTATTTTTTTTTTCAATTATTATCTTCGTTATCTATTTTGATACATTAGTTTTAATTCGAAATTTATGTTTATACAATGCATTCCAATGCATGATATTTCTTTATAATGCGACGAAAAATACACCGTTCCCATATAACGCGTTAAATTAAGTTAGGTTATTTTGATTCTGTTGTCTTTTTTTTAAAAAAACATAAGATATTTATTTCCTTATTTTTTTTCTTTTTTGTTTCAAACAGATATGTTTTTCTCTTAAACATAATATTTATCGATATGGAAAATTGATGCTGAAATATACATAGCTGTCTCTTACTGATGATTTACTACCATGTCTGGATCAGAAATATGCGACTATGTAACCCATTGGTATGTCATGTCGATTATTCCGTTTTAAAATTTAATCTCGCAGATTGAATAATATTTTTATTTATCATTTTAACGAGCGATTGTATTGTATATTATACATTACGTTATTACTCAAATACAATACGTATTTCATTGCAGAAAAACAATTTTTTAAAAAGGAATAAATGTTCATATGAATTTAAATTAAAATTCCAAACTAAAGAAAGATACAAAACTTTTGGACAAAATAATCTACTTTTAGATTATTAAAAGTTTTTATTTCGTCTTGCGTGCTCATTGCATTGTAATTCTGTCATATATTCGCGTATACAAAATTTTATTTTGTTGTATACTGGATCGTATCATTACCATACGACAGAATTCTCTTGCAAACATGTTTTACTTTGTTTGTTTCAAAGCAGGCAAACATTTGCACAAATAGAATTTCGGCCAGCAAAAGGGTGTGGTGTAGTAAAAGAGATTATAGCTAGGGATTGTTCATCCCATAGTTCTGACCGCTATAGAGCTTATGGTGGTTGTTGCGACGTCGGAAATGGCGTTGAGCAGACATCTAAGGGAATCAAAGTTGTTATTGGAAACGTTGTCACGGGGATGCGTCCCTCGTGTGATCAAAATTCTATTTGAGATGTTTCTGGGGATGTCTCGGAGGTCATCACGAGTCTCGTCAATTTTGCTTTGATGTTACGGTTGTTAGAAATTTGCATTAAACTAGTTAATTACTAAATTAAACTTAGTTAATTAAATTCGCATCATATTCGATTTATACACGATATTAACCAACAAAATACTTGTTCTTCCAATCATCAGGATACAAGATGTCATTACTCATTGTTTCAGACACAAACAAAAATTCTGTCGATAACTTTATCTAATTTAATTTAATAACAACCCGAGTAAATTTTAAATAAGCTCGTAGAATCTCTTTCACAAGAAATACTCGACGATGGAGAAATTCGGGAAGACAAATTAATTGTCGTGGAAAAGTACAACGGTTCGATGAAAGAAGTCGGTGAAGGCAGTGAGGATGAGAAAAGGAAGAAGGGAAGAATAGAAATTGATCGAGGTGGCTCGAACAGACCTGCGAACAGACTTCCATAGTCATTTGTATCGTTGCTCGACCTGTTGCTGTTCAAACGACCGAACTGTTGATTTTTCTTTTTCCAGGATGCTCTGCACACTTCCATCCTCCTCGCTGGAGGGCTTTTTATTACAATCTGGATTGTAAAAAAAAAAACCTGGAGCCACGGTCGCGGCCAATCGTCATAAATATTTTACGTTCTCGCAATCGTTTCACGGCATTGGGATATATCCTGAACGCGGTAAACCACCCGCGGGATTTCGATCTTCTTCCTTTTGCCCTGCAATCGTCCATACCCCTTTCGAGAGAAGAATGAGCGCGCACAATCGTTCCGCTCGACTTTCCTCTTTTGTGTTATTTCTTCTACTCGCGTTCAAATAGGTAATAATATACCGGTCGGTGTTCGTTTGTTATTCATAGGAAACCATTTTTTCCTCACCTTTTTAACGTTTCTTAAGAATATACAAAATGAAGAAAAATTCGATTTACGACTTATCAGTAATCCAATAATCGTTTCGTATAAATTATTAAATAGATTTTTTCCTCTTTCTTTCTTGGTGTCGAACTTTCTGGTCGTCCAAAAAAAAAAAGAAAAAAATTGCAAGACGTCACTCGGTTTGCCAACATTTAAATTTAGAATTCAGGTTTTCGTAAATAAATAAAGATTCATATTTTTTTATACCGGTCTTCATAAATCGCGCAAATTATCGAAGCATTTGTGTCGCCATTTCTGCGTCATCTTGCGCATAAAAATAAAACATCGCGTATACTTAGCACGAAAGTTCAACTTTTCTTCGAGGCATGTTGCAATAGATCGCTGCAAATTACGCGATACAAGTTTTCATGGATTTAGGGATTCAATCGTTACGCACAGACTTAAACGAGTTAAGTAAGTAAATCTCCTTGGAACTTTAGAGAGAGACTTTCTTTCTTTTTTTTATTCAGAATATATTGTGAAATTGTTTCATTAAATTGTAGAGAGAATACATTAAAAGTAAAATTTTATAATACGAAGGACTTGCTTCACGAATAAAATTGAATATTAAATGTGGCAAGTGATAGGAAAAGAAGATAAATTCTTTTTAAAAAGAAAATTGAATTTAAAATTTAATAAACGATCTCTATATTTTCTTTATTTAACTCTATATTTATCTCTATATTTAACTCTATACGCGATAGAAATAAATAAGATACATAACAATTCTTCGATCGATGATTCGTAAAACAAAATATTACGCTACTACGTAATTAAAAAATTCCATCCTTTTTTCTTTTACTCAGAATAATTTCAATCGAGATTAAACACATTAGTGAGGAAGTTGCTATAAATCGAGCACGATAGCCTTCGAACGAATCGAGACGATTCCATTTTCTTTCGCGGACATTTTCTCCGGCTGTTCGAGGCGAGAAGAACGCGTGCTGTACGAAGAGTGTCGACTCGATGCCAACTAACGGGATCTGTAGTGATCAAGTGGGTCAGACGAACTCGATCCCTTAGTCGATTAGCCATCTCGTCACCGCAGCGGTTATTTCAAGGTGAAAATTGTTTTGATCCTCGACTCGTCCAAACTGTATTGAAAATATTACTGTCCTCCAAACGTTCTTTTTAAATATATATTATATTGATGTAATGAAATATAATATATTATATTGTTATAATGAAATTCAATATTATTTTTCCGATGATGAGAGTGTGAAATTTTTCTCCTAAATTGCAATATTGGAATTAATATTTTGAAAAAAACTTGTCGATCCTTGGAAAGATGTTTAACGTTATAAATGTAATATCAAATTGATTGGCGGAAAGATCGGAAATTCGGATTGACGAGGGTGTAATTTTGCGATACAGTGGTTAGAAACACGGTAATTAGAAATCACGAACTTGTTCAAGGTTTGGCAAGTTTCAGGAAGGATCGGATCCTGCAAACTTTGGTTTAAGCTGTTCTTGAATTTGGCCGATTAGAAGACTAGAAAGTTCACTCGTATTTCCCTTAATGGCGATTAATTCATCCGTCATATTATTTTTTTCGCAAATAACTCGAATAGCCGCGGCAGAAAGTAATATCTCGCGGTATTAAGAATTTCATGACAATTTACGAGTCCCTGATAAACAATCGAAATCGAGAGTCAATAAAACGCCGTTTCAACTCGGTTTCCATCATTCGGCCAACTGTTACGTGATTTCGATTTAACGCGAATTAACACACACTTTCTTGCGTCTCGCGCGATGAAATAACGGATAGAAATTCGTTCGATCTGTCCAATTAGATTTTAAATTTTAAATCAATCTCGATAAAAATGCGATTGCACATAATTCAATTATTTATCAACATTGCCCTTCCAAATGCTACTCCAGATTCTCCAATTTTAATCGATGATTCAAATCTATCGATTATTCCCTAAAGAAAAATGTTAATCCTTCGAACAAAATTCGGCTGTTTGATTCAATCATATTATTCCTCTTCCTCCAAGCGAAATATTATTTCTCGTCGAACAGAAGCATATAATTCATAATTCGATTCAAATTTCTTGCGAATTCTCCATTTACTCGGTTTTTTCGTGAAAAGAATTCGAGTTTATTTCAGCTTGGAGCGGAGGCTCGCGGCTTCGTGTTTCACTCGAATTAATTGATCACGCATCGAATCATGTCCAGTTTTCGTCGAATCTCGTCGATGGATTGCCACAACGTTCAACCCTTTCTCGCTCGAACCAACAATTCCACGCGATTTCCTGTTCCCAATTTACTTTTTTATTTTAATATTTTGTGTGTGTTTACGGAAAGAGAATTTTAAAGTCGAATATTAAAGTCTATGCTTCGTGCGATGTTTTAATAATAAAGTAATTATCAAGATCCTCGTTAGAGCAAGTGTTACGATAAAATGTTGAAATTCATCTTCGCTCGAGCTAATTTCATTGCAATATATTCCATGCTTACAAAACTCGAAAACTTTGAAAATAATATTTCTATCGTCGAATAACTCGGACTAAAATCTAATCTGGATCTAAATTTTCAAATAAAAAAATCGAATTATTCGATTTTATATATTATTCCACGCTTCACAAGATTATGCTGCAAAGAACCTTAAGAGTTTATATTTTAAAAAAAAATCAAAAATAAATATTGTCACCTCTCGAATTGCCGAATATCGAACGTTAAAAAGGATTAATCTCGAAGCAAAATTCCAATAAATTGTGTCACAAGAAGAGATCGCAGAATTGATCTCTTATTTTTTTTTTTTTTTAAGCGATTGAACGAGAAGGTCGATAAAGAAGATTCCATCGATTTACAAGATCTTCCATATTCTTCCCTTCGAAATCAAATTTCGTATCCATCGTGATTCTTCGTTTCCTCGGATTAGATTAGATTATTCCGATTATTCGTTCATAGACGTCATTCTCAAAATTAATCCTTTCGCTATTTCTATACTCGCTCTTCATAAAATGTTCTTCATAAAATGGCGTGCTGTATCACCGACCATAGTCGGTCTGCATAACATGCCGCATATTCTATATTCATATGAGTTATCGCGAAACATCGATATTTCGTTTTTATCATCAATTTTTTTTTTTTTTTTCTAA